GTTCTGAATGCGCGCATGCGCAGAGGAGGGCGCGGCTGGGAGTGCGCCCCGCCCCTCCTGTGTTTCGGGAAGGGAGGGGTCGTTCTGAGCGGAGCATGCGCAGACGGAGATGAGCGAGTGTTCTAAGGCGCTCTGGTTGCTCCTCCCTAGAGCCAGCTGCATGTCCCTGGCGCGCCTGGCCCTGGGGGGGCTGCTCCCCTGGCTGGGTTGAGGGGTGTAGGGGGGGGCAGCCCAGCCTCTCCTCCACAGAGCCATGCCCCAATCCTCAGCTTTGCCCCTGCACAGGCTCAACAGCCCCGGGCACGAGGGAGGCGACCGTGGCGCTGCCCCAGAAGCAGCCGCAAGCTCCTGGAGTGAGCACCGTGCGCTGCCTCCCGCAGACTGAGGCCCCAGGGCCACCCCGAGAGAGGAGGCGGGAAAGAGCAAGCCCAGGCCGTGGCTGGGGGGCTCAGCCCCAGGCCTGGAGCAGCAGCGCAGAGCCAGATTAGGCCCTTTTGCAGCCTCAGGCCGCCCCAATCGGGTCTGGATGCTGCGCTGCCTCGGCCCGGCATCGGGCCCCGCGCTGTCAGCGTCGGAAATCCCTCGCATCGAGGATGGTCTCTGCCGCCGCCCATGGGTGGGTCTTGGGGACCGAAGAGTAGGACCTTGGAGCGACGGATCGGGCCACAGGCCTTCCAGCAGGGAGAGTCGGTGCCGGCTGGGATTCCTTGCCTTTTCCTTCCTCTGCTTCGAGAGCGAGACGCTTCGCCTCGAAACGGGCTGCCACTTGGTGGAGGCTGCGGTGCCCGAGGAGTCGACAGCCAGCTCCTCCCCGCTCCGGATGCCGGCATCTGTCTCCTCGAGGTCTGCCTTCAGCGTGTCCTGGTAGCGTTTCCTCTGCCGGCTGCGAGGTCTCAGGCTGGTACTGAGCCGGGAGCGGAGAGCCGGGCACCCGCACCCAGTGTCCAGTCCGGCTGGTGCTTGAGGATCACCAACGTCACGCTGGTAACACCGGCTTCAGCAAGGATGCTGGTTTTTGTGCGGCGATCTACCCACTGGATGTGGAGGATTTTGTGGAGGCGTCACTGGTGACACCTCTCCGGAGGTGACAACCGCAGGCCACCCATGTTTCACATCTGTGGAGGAGGGTGGGGATGATGCGGACCTCAATCTTGGTGTCTTTCCGGAGAACGCAATGAATAAAGACACGCCAGAGCAATTTCCCAAAGGAGGTGCTTGTGCTGGATCATGCCCTGTCTAGCATACAGGACCTCATTGTCCTGCCCACAGGTTTCCCTGTGGGTCCAGAAATTTGGCAGTGAGGCAGTTAACACCACCACTACCTCCCTGCTGCCAGACGGTGCAACCCACGTGCCAGATGATGCACCTCTGGGGACGGGGTTGAGCACCCCTGATGCTGGATGATAAGGGTGCTATGATGAAAACTAAGCTTGGGGGAAGGATGTGATGCCCGCACACCAGGGAGCCTCAGCCAGGGGGTTGCAGAGGGCCGTGCAATATTAGCCCTGTTTGGTGTGCCAATACCCACATACGATTCACAAGATGAACAGAGATCTCAAACAATCATCCTCCCTGGGGAGCCATTTCTTTGGCAGAATCATAGGCAAGCAGGGCTGGAAGGGGTCTCCACAGGTCACTTAGTCCAAACCCCTGCCTGAGGCAGGACCATCCCTATCCAAACCATCCTAGGTGCATCCGTCATCTAAACTCGTCACAAAACTACCATCAAATCTGACACGCCACAAGGCATAACACCTGCACCTGCCACAGGTAAAGCAGGGGAGGAGGACCACCGTTTTAATCCCAGCAGGAGCATTAGCACAGCCCAGTCAAAATCCCCCATCTTGGCTGCGGCCAACAGTCCATTGCATCAAAAATACTCTGCCCTGATGTGGTATTTCTGAGGTCTTTGCAGCAGAAATGTCACTCTGTTATTTTTCATAGTCAAAAAACAAGTGAAAGCAAAGAGATGGCATTTTGGGGGGTGGGTGGGCCTTCAGTGTAGTGAATCAGGCCTTGAGCACAAGCGGGGGGGGCAATGCCTTGAGTCTAAAGCCATTGAGAATCCCTGTCTGCACATTGATAACATGGCCACATCTGGATTAGTGCATGTGCACTAGTATCCCCTCGAGGGCCTGGGGAAAACTCTTATGGCAGGCAGACAAGAGCGGGAATGGGAGGAAATGACCCAGAGGTGGCAGGATAAGAGCACCTAAAATAAAACCTGTCCTAGAGAAGTCCGAGCTCTTCTGATCCCTTGTTTCCTAACACAAAAAGGAAGGGGCATCCCATAAAATGGGGTAAGAAATCCACTGCTGGCAAAGGGAGACATTGTTGTACCCGATGTTGCCCCAGGAAGCTGTGGGAATAATTTAGCAAGATGCCCAAAGGACTGGACAGAGATGGGCAGGAAAGCCCAGAGTCATCACAGTCCATAGGAACACGGCGCTGAGTGCAACAGCGTCTCCCTTTGCCAGCGGTGGATTTCTCACCCCGTTTCATGGGATGCCCCTTTCTTTTTATGTTAGGAAACAAGGGATCAGAAGTCCCAGCTCTGAGTCCTGCTTCGGGCCTTAGGGTAGTCAAATGGTCCTGGATTTGCCTGGCCTGAAGAGCCTGGCGCCTTGCTCTGATCCCAGCCATCCCTGGATCTGAAGCAGGCTGGCAGTGCTCAGGCTGCTTTGTGGATTTCTACCTATTTCCATCAGATTTACCCCGAGGTGTTTCCAGCAGTTCCTGTGGAGTCACTTCTGGTTGGCCAAATGTCTCAGTGGACATGGCAAGGTGTAAATCAGTGCAGAATCCAGGCCCCGTTAGCAAAGAGCCAGAGCCTGCTCTCAACATGGTACTCAACTTTCACATGTACGGAGTCAGTGGAGTTATTCCAGGTTAATTAGTGTGACATCTGGCCTCCACGAACTGTTTGGGGATCTCCTTGGAGGGAGGTGTTATACAAGCTGGGTTGGAAAGAGGAGAGTGCTGCTCGGCAGGAACGATTAGTCTCCATTTCTTCCCCACCCCAAATACCTTTAAACTGATATGCTAGCAACCAGTTAGGCTGCTCCTGCATCAGGTTCCCAAAACAATCAGTAGGCAGGTCGAGAGCAGCAGCAGGGTTAGACTAAATCGGATCTGAGCATTGGTGTTCACGTTCACGTCTGCTCTGCCCATTGTCGGCCAGCCTGGGGGACCTCAGCGTGTGCGAGCTCCCGGCAGTTTGATTGATGGGGCTTTTGCCACATTTGCGCCTGGGTAGTAACCTGCATTTAGCCCTGAAAATCCACATACCCGTTCCCCCTGCTCCAACTTGTCTTCTGTGCACTGCTGCCTCAGGGAAGTCGCTTCACCGCTATGGTGGCAGGTACCGATTCAGTTAGACGCAGCCTGCTGCAGCGCTGAAGCACACGGGACTTGATACCTCCAGGTGCTGCGGTCTTATTAGGGACCCATCACCATCACCTCTAAGCACTTCGCAGTCCCTGCTGACGTAGCCTCACCCTATGCCTGTGACTCCTGGACAGCCTGGTTCCCTACCTCATGTTCAGAAATCAGGGCTGGCTTAAAAGTGACACTTTTTATTTTCCAGAGAGGTGAGGACACAAACGTCCCTGGGATTGGGTGTGTAGCAAAATAAAGTCTTTTATTCAACATGGTGGAGTTACAGGAGGGCGTGAGGGAGACCAGGCAGGTCCTCGCTCGGAGATGGACCCCGAGCCTTGCTCGTTACCTGTGCTCTCAGCCGTCGAGTCGGGCAAGCTGAGGCCTTCCCCCGTTCTCACCCCACCGCACGCACGCACGGGATCCACAGACACGACACCAAGCTGCAAAGGAGATGACGGGGAGGGCTGCGGGGCAGGCAAGCATTTCATGAGCAGGCTGTGGGGGCTCACTTCTTCTTCTGCAGCTGCCGTGCCAGCATGTCAGCCTGCTCGGACACAAAGGGGCAACATAGCGCATAGACTTATAGGGAAGTCGGGCTGGAAGGGACCTTGCAAGGTCATTTCATCCGGCCCCCCGCTAAACCATCCCACCAAGCGTCTGTCCAACCTGCTCGCGACAACTCCCAGGGATGGAGATCCCACAACTTCTCTGGGTGCGGTACCTGTCCCAGGCTTGACCGCCCTCATAGCCACAATGTTCCTCTGAATCTCCAACCTAAATTTCCCCTGCTGCAGCTTGAGGCCATTGCTCCTAGTTCTGTCCCCTCTACAGCCACAGAGAAAAGCCCATCTCCACCTCCTCTACGATCACCCTTCAGGAAATTTGAAGACTGACAATTAAGTCTCATTTGATTAGTCTTCGTGGAATTTTACTTGACACTGCAGTGGGGTCCAGCTCTGGGGCCGGGACCTCTGGGGCTACCCCAGGACAAGTAGCAGTAATAATAATGTTGAGCTAAAGCAGTTGTGCCACCTGGTACTCAGCTTGGCCTGTGGCTGCTTCTCTCCCAGATCTAATGAAAGCTGCTTGAAACCCGAAAGCTTGTCTCTCCCCACTCTTCAGCTTGGTCCAGTAGAAGGTGTGGCCTCACCTCCCAAATCTGGCTTCTCTCATCTCCCTGGACCATCACGGCTACAGCAGGAGCGCTACCACAATCATATTATTGCTACTCTCGTTATGAGGTGCTCAGATATGGCCTGCTTATTCAGCCTTCAAAGAGGAAACTCCACTAGGGCAGCCCCGAATATTTTCCCCGACTGGTATTGCCCATCTCACTTCTTCCAGTTCACTCCCTGCCCCACACCTTAGGCACATGCCTACCCCCTGGGTACACTGCAGTCCCTTGCAATCAGTAATAACTGTTCATATGTAGAGTGATAATCATCCCAAGGACACGGATGCCATGTTCAGCTCCCACGCTGGCCCCGGCCGGAGCTTGGTGAGCTGCCTGGCAGGCCTGACTCTTACCAGCAGGGTCTTCACAACGTTCATCCTTGGGCTCCTCACGTAAGCGCACTCTTCCCCGCCACAGATCTTGATTTCTTCTGAAGCCTGAACTCACAAACAAAGCAGAGCGTGAGTGCCCCCGGGGCAGTTTGGGGAGACCAGGGTGGCTTTCATCACGGGTTTGGAGCCCAGCTCCGTGAGAACAAGAGACACAGGCACAACTCGACCTGGGAAGGAGCCAGACAGGCTGCAAACCCTCCTGCAATAAGTTGAAACAGAGTTGGAAAAGACCTTCCCCTCTCGGGGGGGGGGGGGGGGGGGGTTTCCAGCTTGTACTGCCTGTGGGGGACCCTGGTCTAGCTGAGCCACTATGGCACTTCCAGTGTCCCTAGGGCTCAACAAATTCCCATCTGAGGGCGGCCAGCAGCCTGCAGGAGACACGTTCTTGGCCTTTGTGCAGCTCTGGGCAGAGACGGGCCCTCCCGACCGCCCTCAGTGTCCCTGACACTGTCCCCCGCTGGGCTGCAGCCTGCGGGTGGTGGCTGTGATGAAGTTCAGTCAGGGAGAAAGCAAACCTTTCCCTCCCTGCCAGAAACCCTGAGGTCTCCGCTCAAACCCACCTCCACCAGGCACGGAACGGGAAGGTAGAAACCACCCAGGAGAGGCCACCAGGACTCTGCTTCTGCCCTCAGCATGGCTGTCGGCTTCTGGTTTGGTCCGTCACAATGGCCCAGCTGCCCCGGATGATCGCAGGGAAGGGACCTCGAAAGCCTGAACCTCTGCCCCGTGGCAGGGCCAACTCCACCCACGCTGAAGTACCCCAAAACGATGGTGGCCAGGTGACAGGACCCCCCCGCCCCGATCTCCTCCTATCCTATGGGATCCCACCGCCATGAATCTGCTCCAGTGCTGAGCCCTCCTCGCAGTCATGAGCACGGAGCAGCACAGAGCAGCAGGCCTGCTTGAGCCAAATCTGAGGGCTAGAGGAAGCCCAGAGTTTGGGTCCTTTGCTGTATCCATGGTCTGTGGGCTGGTGCAGTGTTGGGAAGCAGGTGGTCAAATATCTGCACCAATACAGTCACAGAGGACCCGATCCCAGGCCCCTGCCACCCCCCACAGGCCCCGTGCGAGCAGTGGGTCCTTGGTGGCGGCAGTGGAAATGGTCACTGTGGCAGAGGCTGCAACACACCTGTGGTGCCTGCGACAAGTCCAGCTCCCTCTTCCCGCCGGGGTACCAGCCGTGGGACCAGTGCTGGGCTCGTGCCAGGGGCACGCCGATGGCCAACAGGAGGACAAGCAGGAGCAGGAGGGACCTCGGGCATGCCATGGCGCTGTCTGTGGGGTGGGGGTGGCTGGCACAGTGCACTCTGCAATGGGAAGGGGGTCAGATGGGTTGCGACGCTGCTCCGGGGCTTGACACACAGACTCCAGGCTGCATGCAGGCCTGGACTCCTGGGTTCACTCCCAAGATCTCCCACCAGCTCACTGGGGAGCCTCAGGCATGGTGCTCACTCTCCTCGAGTCCTCCTTACCTTGGGAAGGATGGCATCCACCTGCCTGGCGAGGCTCAGTTGAGTAACACCAACAAGAGGCATGTGGCCCTTGGAGAAATGCCTTCACTGGTGCCCTGACATTGTTCCTGGCCATTGCCATGGCCCTAAGCTGGCAGGACCATTCAGGACCTCTAAACCATTATCCCCAGAGAGGCTGGGAGAGCACATGATGGTGCATCCCCCCCTCAGTCCCTCCATCCCTCCACCATGGTGCCAAGGCAGTGGGCATAGCGGGGCATTAAGGAGTGCTTTCCCCCAGGAAAGCAAACCAGACTGGCTCTGGACTGACAGCGCTGGCTATGTGTAACACCCCACTGGGTCCAGGGCACTGCTCTGGGGTCAGGCCAGCGCAGCAGGGGAGGAGAGAGCTGGGCTGGAGCTGGGAGAGTCTGCCCTTGTACCCCGAAGGGACTGAGGCAATAAGTCAAAGCCTCCTCAACAGCTCCTGGGGCACGACCCCCACCCCTCCCCAGTCCAGACCCTGGCCCCAGGGAATAAATCCCACCCTCACGCTAAGCTGTAATGCACAGAGGCACGGGGGAGCGGGGGACTTGCCTGTGGCCATGCAGGATGGCAGTGGCAGAGCTGGAGCCACTGGTCTGGGGTCCCAGTAGGAGACTGGAACAGCCCCAGGCTGCAGCGTCCCATAAGCAGCAGCCACATGGCTCTGTCCAGCGTCTCTGAGAGCTCAGGTCTGGAGGAGGGAAGCTTGTTCCTTCCAAAGATGATGATGCCCAGAGGCCAGATCACCTCAGATCCAGCTCCCAGCACTCCACGGCTCTCTGGAGGGCCCGGATCTGGATCTCCTGAGTGCCCGAACTGCTCAAAACCTTGAAGCAATGCCCCTGCCCCAGCCTCACGGCTGTGAGCCCAGAGGCTCTGGGACTGGAACCGACCAAATAAGCTCAGAAATAAGGTTTCCGTTCCCCAATTTGGTGTCAAGCAGCTGCAGCACGTGGGATAGCCCACGGCCCGGGACACGGGGTGAATGCAGATGTGCCGTCTCTGCCCCCTCCGCTCCCCAGCTGTGCGTCGGGGCTAAAATCCAACTTTCTCTGGTTGGTGGTGGGGCAGAGAGGAGTCCGGCAGGGGCCCACTCCACCCAAACCAATCCTGACCTCCTGGATAAGGCTGGAGGCCTTCTCGAGCCAGGTTGCCAACAGAAGGTGGCTCTGGAGAGGATCAGGTGCATTCACCTATGGCTGGGGGGCCCCGCCCCTCCCCCCAAGGCTCTTCCCCACAAGCAGCCCGTCTCCCCCTTGCCCACCAAGCCCCGGCTTGCAAAGCCGTCCTCACTCACCCTGCCCTGGATCCGCCTGGCTCTGTCCTGAGGCTCGACTGCTGCCAGCCCCGCGCACTGTCGATATTTATACGGCCGTGTCACCGGGCTCCCCTCCGTGGGGACTGCAGGCTGACGCTCGCTGCAGGCTGCCGTCTGACGAGGCACGGGATACGTTTAATCCCCCTTGTCGGTGGCCCGTGCTCTGATGAAAGGGTCTCTGGGGTGTGCCTGTGACCGGGTGGCCAGCCCGTCAGCTGCCGGAGCGCCTTTGAACTTGGCAGCTTGTGCAAGCAGATGGGAGCAGAGCCACTCACGTCCCTGGCGCTCTTGTGTTGCGGGGCAGTCGTTCGCAGTGGCTTTGGGCAGCCGGCAGCCTCACCCGACGGCTGGGCACGGGGCGAGCAGGCAGGCTCCTGCAGAAAGTCTTGCACGGGTGGTCTGGCCTTGCCCTCCGATTCGAGGGCAGCAGGGGTGGGGGTGGCCTGGGATCAGCACGATTCCCATCCAGGCCTCCCCTGAGTTCTTCGTGACTCCTGGCTGCCAGGCTCCCATGCCCCTCCTGGCCCACCCTGAGCTGGATGATGGGCATGGGGAAACTGGGGTATTCCTGCTTCAGGCAGGGGGTGGACTATGTGACCACTGGAGGTCCCTTCTGGCCCTGCTTCTCCGCAGATCTGATTTCTATGAGGGGCTCCCTGAGGTCCAGGCCAGGCACTGGCTGGGGAAGATGCATCTCATATAAGTGATGGAGGTGGCCAGGGCTGCCTTCCAGGGGTGCTAACGTCCTCCAAAGACCATCGTGGTGCGGCCAGTACAGGAGGGCAGCCCTGAGCCCCACAACAGGCAGCCCGCATCTGCCCCTGCCACGCGCACACGTCTGGGGTGGCATGTGCCCCTCATGCCCCCCAGGGATGTGCTGCAATTCAGCCAGAGAACAGAGAGCCATTTCAGCCTGGGTGCAAGGGTCTGCAGCTCCCTGGAAAGTCAATGGGAACTGCTCTTGCATGCAGAGACTGCTTGTGTGCATGCATGCACACGCGCGTGTGTGTGTACATCTGTATGCACCTCCTGTGCAGCAGAAGGTAGAAAACCAGGAGGGGAAAGCAAATCCCAGAGTAAGAAAGAGATGCTGCTTACAACTCTCGCCATCATGCCGCCTGCCCCAGACCTCCTGTCCCAGGATGAGGAGCTCCAACGAAGCGGGACGTAGCAGGTACCCTGGGCTGCCACGCGCCCCGTGGCCACTGGCTTCCCTCCCCATTCACCCCATCAGTAGGGCTGGAAAGCTGAAGCAGGACATTGGCCCATGCCCTTGCCAAGAGCAGCATCCCCCGCCTGGGCAGCTGGTCCCTGCGGCCGCAACCACCGTGCTGCTGCCTGGAGGCAGCCGGCTCCGCCGCGGCCCCAGCAGCAGCCGGCAGCAGGTGGCATTTCCCAGCTCGAACGACAAGCGCCCGTGAAAGCTGTTTGCCTGCAAGGGAGGCATCACCTCTAGAGCCCGCAGGGTTAAACTCATCAGGGCAAACATGGCCTGTGCTAATCGAGCTGCCGCAAGGCCCCTGAGCCATCACCAGTCCTGATGAGCTCAGCCGGCCCTGCCCGCATGCTTGGGCTCTGCCTGTCCTTCCCATGCCTCCTCCCCTGCCTGGCCATGGGTGAGCGTGAGGCCTGCCCAGGCACTCATATCATGAGCCCCCACCCCCATGACATGGAGACACACCAGGGGGACCACCTTTTGCAAAATGGAGAGGACACATATCCACCTCCCTCCCACCCCGAGCCCAGCAGAGCAGGGGCAGATGCAGGCTGCCCACTGCCGGCTCCGGTCTCCCCACCCTGCTGCCTTTCCCCCAGGAGTCCCATGCCAGCCGCATACCCTCTGCCCACACAGCAGCAGCGGAGGGCACAACTCCACGCTGCCGCTGCCCCTGCTACTCCCAGGCAGACATGGGGCGCCTCACCATCATGGCGCAGCCAGTACAGGAGGGCAGCCCTGAGCCCCACAACAGGCAGCCCACATCTGCCCCTGCCCTGCACACAAGTCTGGGGTGGCATGTGCCCCTCATGTCCCCCCCGGGATGTGCGCAGTGACAGGGAGCTGCCCACGTCTCCATCCTGCTCCATATCCTGGTCCCTGGCCCCATGCACTGGGCAGTGCCCCCAGTCCCTGCCACACTCCCTCCCTCACCATGGGGAGCCTCAATCTGCCCCCATCTCCACCCTCACCCCCCACAGACTTACCCGCAGGGAGCTGCTCTCCACGCTGCATGGCTATGTTCCTTGCCACACACGTGTGTAGGCGTGCACATACACGCAGTGCCCCCTGCGTCCTGCTCCCGGCAGCCCCAAGCACGCTGGATCGCTGCCAGCCTGCAAGGGGAACCCCACTGTTTCCCAATCCCCGCAGGACGCTGCGAATCCGGGACAAATGCTGTCCTGGTGCCGTGCAGCCCAGGACCAGGATTTGATGTTCCCATTCTGGGACTGTGCCACTCAATTAGGGATGGGTGGTCACCCTAAGACACCTGCAGCACAGAAACTTTAGCTCGGGGGCACGAAGCTGCGACGCAATCTCCATACGTGTGCACAGGCATGTCGGTGGCTTGTTACGGCCAGCGACTGCATTTTGTCAGGACGTCAGTGAACTGCCCCATGCTAGGACAGGGCCCCGAGATCTCCAGACGTGTGGCTGTCAGAGCAGAGACTATGAGCTGGGTAGGACTGAGGGGGATCAACCTCGTGGCTCAGAGCCCCGCACAGGTGCTAGCGAGGCCCAGCCTGGGCTGAAGCAGGGCAGGGGTGTGCAACTCCCCTCCTGCAGGGCCTGGGAACATGCCCAGGCCATGCCCTGGGAACTCCCACATGCCATCTTATCCAAATCCATCAAGCAGGGTTAAGGCCGCTGGCACTTGCCCCAGAGCCACAACCACGGGCACAGCGGCCTGAAGGGAGGCTCTTTCTGTGGCTGAGCTGCCCCGTGGGGGCCCGAGCTGCCGTGTCAGGTGGGGCTGAATGGGTCTGACGCCTGGGTTAGGGGAGTGCCTGAAGCAAGAGCTTGTCCCGTGAGCATGTCGCAGTCAGGTGCTAGCGACTGCATCTCCATGGGCAGCCACGTCCCCTCCTGCCTCAGTTTCCCATTCTTCCAAAACGGGGCTGGTGACCGCCCCCAGGATCACCACTGGGAAAGGACACACCGTGGGACCAATCCCAGAATATCCCTGGGGGGTATTTAAGCGCTGCTTAAATGCAAAGCGATGGGTTTCTTTTGTTGCTGGTGCTTGCAATCTCCACCCCACAGGCAGCTAGAGCGGGTGCCTCTGAGGCACGAAATGGGTGAAATGGGGAGGGGGAGAAGTGGGAGGAAGGACCCATGTGCTGACAGGCCTCAGAGTGGGGAGAAAGTCCGGGGCTTTCATTCATAGACATCTCCAGGCTTCTTGGATCTCCTTTCAGAAACACTCTAGTCTAAGGTGAGACCAACGCCATCGGCAGGCAGTCTTCCCTGCACCTGCTCCCAGCCATCAATGAGCTGCCAAAAGGCTCAGAAAGGGAGGACTCCCCCGCTTGCCCCCAGGGAGCTGGGCATGCTGCATGGGGGAAGGGAGGGCAGAAATATGCCCTTCTCCCAGGTCAAAAAGGGGTGGACAGAAGGCACAAACTCCCACTGGGGGAGCTGGGCCCTGTCGGGGGAGAGAGCCCCGAAGGAATGAGGGGTCTCAACAGAGACGTCGGGCTGAAAGGGACCTCCAGAGGTCACATCGAGTCCAACCCCCTGCCTGAGGCAGGATCAGCCCTGTGCAAACCATCTTGTCCAAATCCATCACGTAAACTCTTCCTAAAACTACCGTCAATCCTGACACAACACAGACCTAACACCCAGACCTGCCACAAGGAAAGCAGGGGGCCCATGGCAGCTTCTTGGAAATGTTAATATATGATCAAGAAATCCCAGGTAGAGGCCATGCCTCCTATTACAGAGGAAGGAAAACCTCCCCCAGTCTGTACCAATCTGATCATGGGGGAAAATTCCTCCCATCCCCCAAAGCTGGCGATCGGCCTGTCCGAGTGGAGGGGCAAGACCCTCTAGCCAGGAACCTCCAGCTTTGGTCCCAGCAGGAGTACGGGCATGGCCCAGTCAAAATCCCCAGTCTTGGCTGTAGTCAACACCCAGTACCACCGAGAAAGGCTTAACAACACCCTGACACATGTAACAGAAAGGGCAAGGGGGGGCAACCAGCAAAGCCCAGAAGTCTGGAAAATACCCATAGTAGGACAGGCATCGCTACACCTAGATCACGCCCGACCAGGGGCTATCCAGCTTCTTGAACACCTCCAGTGATGGGGAGTCCACACCTTCCCTAGGTGTCTACTCCACTGTTCTGGCAGCATGACTCACTATTTTACACGACAAAGAAGCCACTACCACCATAGGCCTACCCCGGCACAGCTGCGTGTCTGTCCAGCCCTTGTCCCAGGGCATTTTCTATGGCTGCACAACACTCACAGGCATTACACCTGGGCGTTCATCTACCCACCTGTGTCCTCTGCATCAGCTGCAGGTTACTGCCAGAGGCAGCAACTCACCCGTGACCCACTGGCCTGTTGTGTGTCCTAGGGCAAGACCCCACCAGGCTTCTTGCTGTTCGGCTGACAGCAATGCCTTGAGGCTCCAACTCAGACGTAGCCCCGTTGCCCTGGGCACTGTACAAACAGGCGGCTGAATCCATGCCCAGGCACCCGACACAGACCAGGGGCACTGCTGGGATCCCCCTTTGCCTGGGGACGGTAGAGACACAGCATGATCAAGGCCCACTGGACTCAGTGCCATTGCACAAGCCAACGGACTTGTGCAGGTGTCAAATGGCCCCCAAAATTCACAGCCACGGAGGCTGACAGGCAGTCCGTGTCCTGCGGCTGCAGCTGGGAGGGGGCACTAGAGGGGTCCTAGTGCTGTCTGCTTGTCATTGGTGCTGCAGGGGTCGGCTTCTCGGGGGATAATGGCCATTGCCCGTGTGTTTGAGCCAGGGGAGGCATTTCTGTGGGTTTAGGCCAGATGTTCAGATCCCCTGCAGTTAGACTGGGTCATGTCATGCCAATGCCCAGAGTGTACATAGCAAGCACTTGTGACATACATGTGCTATGGGAACGCTAATGAGCAGAGCTCATGACACCCCCAGCTGCATGT